CTATAAATCACTGTATTCTCTCTAAATTTTCTTTAATCAAACCCTTATTACTAATTTACATAAATAATTCAACAAAATTTTTTAAATTTTTATCCTTATACTAAATTTAAGCAATTACCTTTTCTTACGTACTATTCTTATAACTATATACTACTTATTACAATCTAAATTAGATTACGTATTTAATAGGGAATTTACAAATAAGGGCCCAAAAATGAAAATAATTACAAATGGGGGCCCAAAATGAAAATAATTACAGATAGAGGCCCGATATTTACAGATAAGGACCCAAAATAATTATGCGCTTAAGAACCTATAATTTAAGCCCCGTTTCGATGATTTGAATATGATTGTAATATAGTCATTAATTGTTAACATAAAAAATGTAATAGTAATTCGAATATAAAAATGTGTATTCGATTCGTCAACCAATTATTTACGCTGTAAATCTATTCCATTGAAAATTTATTCCATGAAATTCTTGTATATTTCTTAAAAACCGGCCTGCTTATAAAAAAAAAACCATGTCAAATACAAAATTACAGATCGATATGAGTTTACTAACATAAAAAATGTTCATTCGGCCCTGGATAGTTATTCTGTTCCTTATAAGTTCAGAACGAACAAACACTAAACCAGTTCATACCCTTTTACTATTTCAGCTAACAAGCGCAAAAGTGGCTACATTCATATAGTAAGGCTGATCCTTCATGGCCCAACTTGTTTAACTTCTATGGAAGCATTCAAAGCACGTGGGACATATCTTGTAAAGTTTACTGTGCCATTAGTTAAAGTACTTCGATCTCGTGATATTATAAATCGTGTTCATTTTGAGACACCATATTGGTAGTTTGAGAAGTAAACCTTTTAGGTCACACAAAATTAAATTTTCGGTTTGCTCAAAAATCCGTTTGGTCGGTCGGATTTTTGTGTTTTCTTTTTAATTCTGAATAATGGATAATAACTCTAAAACACCTATTGAATCGCAATTAATCAGGATACTATTATGTTTAAATCGGCTAGCAATTTTGACGGTATATTTGGGCCCTTCTTTGTAATAATTTTCAAATATTGGGCCTTTATCTGTAATTATTTTTCATTTTGGGCCCTTATTTGTAATTATTTTCATTTTTGGACCCTTATCTGTAAATTTCCCCTTCTTTTTAAACTAAATTAAAGAATAATTAGCCATTTATAAGTACAGAACAAATTTGTTATATATTATTTTTTTCGGATCTTCTTTGCAACTACTGTTGTATTAGGTATTAGGCATTGTTATGTATGATTGATGCCTAGTGCATTTTTCACGTAAACGCAATTACACCAAAGTTGTGCCATCAGTTTTTAATATAAACGTTATAGTTTTATTGTTAACGTCATGAGAAATTAGAACTTTTTGTTTAGTGTTAATAATATGAAGGAATTATTTAATTGTGTTAATGTGATAATACTGTAAATGAGTTAAATAACAAATTTCACACACACTACTATATTAAATTCAATTAATCAGATTTCATAAAGAGTACCATCCCAAAATGTTCCGATATTATTCTATTTTTCTGAATTAGAATCAAGTAATTCTTGTATGTCTCTATATTTTAATTAAATAAGTATTGTTTGTTTTGAACTAAATTTATTTATAATAATGTGGGCGAGAGGTAGACTAGCCATTCACAAAAACTTACTGGTCTGTGACCTCCATCCATTCGGCTATTAATTTTACTAATTTTACAAAAATTAGAATTTTGGAACCTTGGAGATGCAAATAATTTGCCGGGGAAGTGAAAATGTCGGGAAAGCAAAAGTGTCGGGGAAATGGTGAAGGGTTGTCGGAGAAGTGACTTCGGGAAAATAAAAGTGTCTGGAAAATAAAAATGTTGGGAAAATGGTTGTCGGAGAAAAGTGCTGTCGGGGAAACAAGTGGCGGGGAAGAGATAGGAAACCATTACATAATGATAAGTCATCCGAGCAATTGATTTACATTAGCCAATTAGACAAATTTCTTCCTAAAACAATTGCGCAATTTAATTGGCTATCTGTATACTGCGGTATAAAAAAAAAATTTTAGTTTTTAATTTTTTTTATTTGTGTCGCCTTATAATAATAAAATTATTTTGTTTAAATAAAATTATTTAATAAACTTGTTTAATAAAATTGTTAGATTTTACACATTTTACACTTAAAGATATTCGAATTGCAAAAATCGATATTAGGGGTTTCAAAATTAACAAATAAATGATGCATTTCGAAAATAAGTAGGATTTTTTCAATAGCATTTTTACTATGTTGAATTATAAATCGGAAAAATAAAATAAGATTCTCTGATTTTAATTTTGAAACCCCCTATTGTTGAATAGAACCAAGTAAAGAATAGTTTTAGCATTTAAGATGATTCTATTATAATATATCGGGACATCAATCTAACATACCTGTAAAGTTATTAGTATACGATATCTGCGAAAATCCGTACATATATATTAGGAGGTATGGTAAAAATCATGATTTAAATCAAATTTTGTAATTAAATCATTTGATCTTTATTATTATTATGATATTATCTTATACATACCTTTTAATAAATACTGTTGACTGGGGCTAAGATGTGATAGTTGTACGATGTTCATAAATTCGAATTAATATGGATTCTTAATAGCGGTAAATGTAATGCCAGTCAGGTAAAAAAAAAACTTGGTCAAGATTCGATTTGCATTGTTTATCTATGGGTTGCATTTCGAATTCTTGAGCTTGTCAAATCAGAATATGTAATATTTCTCGATCTTTTAAATAGTAAAATCTAATGAATCGCTTATGTTTTTGATCAATTATGTCGATGGTATTTTATTCACGGTGGATATACATTTGACGGGGCGTCTTTCGACCATACTTATTGGTGCCAGTAATTTTTATAAATTGTGAACGAATATTTTTTAAAGGTCTTCTGCGAGTCATATTTTCTTAGTTAACTTACTGTACATTTAACAATTATGCGTAATAAATTATTTAAATCATGTTTTAAATTGATTTAAATCAAAAATCATATATTTACAATTTAAAATTTATTTTTATTCTGCGTTAATCTAGGTGTGTATAACGATAAAATTTTTTAATAATCTATATATATATATATTTAATTTCATTAAGTTCATGTTAATTTAAAATCTAGTATACAAAGCATTTAAGTATAAAAAAAGTATTGAAATCTTAAATAATTGTATCCAACGAATTGGAACCACTATACACTAACAAATAGTCAGCCTTGATATTATTTTACTTGGCACTTTTATCATCTTTAAGAAATAAGAAATGATACAGCATTTCAAAATCTGACGCGACCACTAAACACGATTGAAAGTCATCCAACAAGCAACTGTGTCAGCGTGGTGCCTATGAAAGTACATATGCTAACCTTTTCTTCCAATTATTTCCGAAATTCCAATCACTTCCAAGATTCAAAGAAGTCAGCGTAGTGATCTTGCAAAGTGCATCTGCTAATGCTTTTTCACCTTCCGATCCATGTTTATTACAGTAGTTCTAGAGTACCCAATTACTTTCAAGATTCAAAAAAATCATCATAATGTCGCTTTTACACCCTCTGATTCAAGACTATTATTTTTCAGAATTTCATTAATTTCTAAGATTCAAAGAAGTCAAAGTAGTGTCCATGTAAAGCGCATATACTAACCTTTTATTTCTTCCGATCCAAGTTTATTATTGCTGGAATTTCAATCACTTAGAAGGTTCAAAAGGAATTCTTGCAAAGTGCAAATACTAATACGTTGCCTCCTTCCGGTCCAAGATTCAAAGAAATCAGTGTGGTGATTTTGCAAAGTACACTACTAATGCATTTTCCTCTTCTGGTCCAAGATCCAAAAGTCGTATTTCTCCTTCCGGTCCAAGATCCAAACAAGTCAGTGTGGTGATCTTGCAAAGTGTACTTGCTGTTTTTCCACCTTCTATTCAAGACTATCATTTTTCAGAATTTCATTAATTTTTAAGATTCAGAGAAGTCAGTGTTGTATCCATGAAAAGTGCATATACTAACCTTTTCTTTCTTCCGATTCAAGTTTATTATGTCCGGAATTCAAATCACTTCCAATATTCAAATAAGTCAGCGTGGTACGTAACTTTGTAAAGTGCGTTTTCTCTTTCCGAGATTTAAAAGAAGTCAGTGTGTGACCTTGCAAAGCACCCGCTAATGCTTTTCCACCTTCCGATTCAAGATTATTATTTTTCAAAATTCTATTAACTTCTAGGATTCAAAGAAATCAGCATAGTGTTCATGTAAAGTGCATATACTAACCTTTTCTTTCTTCCGAGCCAAGTTTATTATTCTGGAATTCTAATCACTTACAAGATTCAAAGAAGTCATTATGGTATCCTTGTAAAGTGCATACGCTAATACGTTTCCTTCTTCCGGTCCAAGGTTCAAGAAAACATTTTGGAATCGAATCTTTTAAAATTATGAATCAAATATCACGTGAAAATAAATGCATTGTAGCCGTTATACGTATAACGATCTAACCATTATCAGCAGTGTTTAAAATTCAAATTTCTCCAAAAAACATTTTTTGAATTCTTAAACCGCTAAATCTGACAAAAAATAGATGATAAAATTAAAGTCTAAAACCTTATTTTCCTTTATTTGCACTTATATATAACAGCTCTTACGTATTCATGTAATTGTAACATATTCGTATATGATGCCATATAGCCATCGTTTAACGACGAACTCCAATACTAATGCAGAATAAAAATTTTAGACAATATATAATCCAAAGACACTAAAGCCAACGGTATAAATCGATAAAGTACATTTTATAAAGCATTTGCAAATATTAATTATTTATTCGTATTGATTGCATTTAAATTTATAAGGTCAATATAACGATTATAAAAGTGAATACATAGTGTGCATACATTAAGCATTAAGCATTACTATTAAGTGTGTGTTGTGCATGACTATTGAGTGTGACTATTATGAACCGATCAAAAAAAATCCTTCACAAGTTCTTTGTTATTGGGTAGATTTTCTTTTTTATTATGACTTTTTCAACAATTGTCGTTCCTTGAGAGATAATTTCATCTAATTTTCGGATCTAATATGTAATTATAATATTAGCAACAAAAAAAAAAAACAAAAAAACTAATATATAAAATATAAAATCAAAAGAAAACATAGTTACCCTTTGATCCTTTAGTTGAATTATCTTTTTTAAGGATTCTATCATTTCTTTTAAAGCTTTTATTTCAGCTTTGCAGTTGGCCACATTGTGTTCTTTTTCGGATTCTTTGTTTTCAGATTCCTTGTTTTCACTTGTTTCATTTTCTTTATTAGAACTTGCGGCGGTTGGTAGTTTTTTTACTGGTGAAACGAACTTGAATTTTGGTTTCTTACGCGTATAATAAAAAAAAAAATAATAATAAGTAAAACAAAACACGCGTAAGCTGAGAAAAAAAACCACCATTACAGCTTTATGTCTCCTGGCAGCGATATACAGTGAATTTGCGTTCATTGTGTATGTATCCAAACTATGAAAGTTGTTGGGGGTATTTTGAAGAGCAAGGTACGTACGTGAAAATTCGTACTATCAGCTATGCTATATATATGGGTCATGGTCTAGCAAAACCGTATATTTTGATTTTTGAGGAAATGACAATTGTTGTTTGTGCAACCTAAATTTTTGCCCCTGAATTTTTATTTATTTTTAGATA